AAAGGTCAACACGTAACTCATGCGCATGCAAGAATACACAGAGGTAGGACAGGGCCCTTAGGAAAGGCTTAAAACTTTAATATGATTTATCGAAATGTGGACCTTATTTGCATAAGGCCACACCGGCTTAATTTTATGGATGACATCCTCTGAAGTCCCCCAAACTAGTGCGCGCGGGCGAATAAAAGAAAAATCCGGCCAAAAATAAAAATGCTACTAAATCACAGGAATACAAAGCTGGTGTTGAGAATTTACGGCAGTACATAGCAACGTATACAACAAGCCGGCACAAGCTGGCTTTTGCCGAAGTTATAAGTCGGCAATCTCGGCACTGTACGTATGCACTGAGTTCTTTAGTCGTGGATCTTCGGTAGCCTGGGTGCCCGGCTCCGTATTGTTACCTCCGGGGGAGGAGACATCCTTCCGCGGAAGGGTTTTGTGAGAGATTTAGATTTTCATGTTCGCAGCTGTTTCTCGCGTTTGGGTGGACGGATTCTTTTGAGACTCGGTATATGTTTTGCTATTGGGCTGCAGATGATGCAAGTTCTTTTGTTTTTATTGTATATGTGTTTTCGGGCGTGAAAATGGTGCCTTTTGGTGCCCCAAAAACACCCCTTTGAGCGAGAAAGTGGTCGCGACCGTTGACCTTTGGCGTGTTTAAGCTATTCTCGGTCTGGTCCACGTATATGACCGCTCACACAGAGGAGTGTCCGGTCTCGATAAATTCTTTGTTTAAAACCCTATATAAAAATATACAATAAAAGCCCGGAGGTATAAAATCTCAGATTTTACTTGTTGCTAACTACCATGGACTACCCAGGCTTAAACCCAGGCCAGAGCCTCGGTGGACATGATCTTTTTTAAAAACATTTCACAAAGACACTTTTAGAACAAGAAAGGCTAAATTCTGTTCCTACACGGAGCCTACAGCTATACATACTAAAATTTCCTCTTCACATTCGAAAAATCCCTTCTATACATTCTAAAAAATCTCCCCCATACATTCTAAAAATCACCGCCATACACTCTAAATTTGAGCTCCGTACATTCTAAAAATCACCTCTATGCACCTCTGTTAACTTTTAAGTTCTCGTTTAAGAAATTCTTGTAATGATTTTAAGGAAAACTGTGCAACATTTAAGGAAACTGTGCAATATTATGTGTCTGTGAATGTATCACAATGTTATGTGTTTAATGTTTCCCTGCATGTACGGTCATAATTCATGGCCGACGTGACCTGGGCTCAATGTCCCTTTCTTATTTGCGAAAAAAGAATGATTTTATATAAAATTCACCTCTGTACATTCCAAATCTCTTCTATATATATTCTACAACTGTAAAATCTATGATGTGGTTTTCAACTTTATTTTGCAGACAGGACGTTTTGTTTGATTTAGTTGATTGATTTTAATTTGTACACCAGCTCATTATATATGTACCTTTGTCATTTCTTATTATTATTATTACTATTATTACTTTTTTTATTGTTTCCTTTTATGTGCGAGGAGAGGGATGAGATAAGTTTTATAACTTTTTGCCCAATCCTCGAAAAATAAATGTGAATAGAAATAAAAATAAAATATATATTCTAAAAACTTCCACCGCGATCGTTACCTGTAGAAATGCGTTCGATACTGTATGTGTATGCCTACAAGAAAAATCACACCAATTATAAACAATCAAGACACCATGTAAGATGGTGACAACTTTAGGATTTTAGGACACTCTTACTTTCAAACTCTTACTTTTACTCCCATATTTACACTTTGTACAGCGGACATTCATCATTCGACATTAAACACATGGAGGGATTTTGTGGTCCGTTGTCTGTATGTTGAAAAAGCTGCCTGCTAAACTTGAGTCAAACTAGGCGTGTCATTTCAACACGTTATCTATAGTAAACTTGGTCAAGCGAAGATCCCGCCAATACGGGGACGCCTAAGCTTGATATCCTGTGGCTTTCTGTTGTTCTGTTGTGACAAACTTATCAGATAAGACCCTAAGTATGTATAATATGTAAGGTGTGTTAAGGTGTTACATGTACGCTTAGCTATTGTAGTGCGCAAAGGAGTGCCGTTTCTATAGGTTATTTGTTTGGGCATGTGGAACAGGCCACAACGACTTCATTTTATGGATGACATCCTCTGAACACCACCAAACTAGTGTGCGCGGGCGAATAAAAAAATTCCGGCCAAAAATAAAAATGCTGCTATACCACAGGAATACAAAGCTGATATTGTGAATTTGCGGCAATACATAGCGACGCATACAACAAGCCGGCACATGCTGGCTTTTCTGTGGAATTTCAAAATCGGCACTGTGCGTATGTACTAAGTTTTTGCCGTCGAGGAGCTTCAGTGATCTAGGTGCCATCCCCCAGAGTTACCACCGGCTCCGTATTGTCGCTAACTACCATGGACTGACTACCCAGGCCTAGAGCCTCCGAGGACGTGATCTTTTTTTTTTTTGAGAATAGGCGAAAATCAATGCGCGCGCGGATGTCATCCATAAAATTAATTTGGTGCGGCCTAATCAAGAATAAAAATACTGTAAATTCTTTTTTGTTCGCGGGGGATAAATTTCGCGCTAGGAAAGAAAAGGGGATTGTTGTGGTGTTTTAAGTTCGCGGTTGAAGCAATACTTAAGCATGGTAGTACATTTACAGTGCATTTATTACGGTTACAAGATGCCTCCTATGGTAGGCATTGCAAAGGTCATGGACAAACTAGTACAGAATGTTGTGGCAGTATGCCGCTTTTGATGCATGTCTTCCACTATTGTCTTGTTTAATTTAAAGTCCAGAAGCACGGCGTGGTTCTTGTTGAGAATAGATAGAGAAGAAGGATCAAATAGCGCGGTTCTTGTTGTGGAAACAATAGAGAAGAAGGATCGTTAAGCCTCTCCTGATATGTACTGAAAGTATCTAAATGAGTGAAACAAGTGCATGTGTAACTTAATCTGGGTTTATTAGTAAACAAACTTTCGTGCCAGATGTACATCCACTGCCACCCAAGTATAAACAACCGTGCGGCGTCCTTGTCAAGTGCAAGTGCACTCTTTTGCCCAACTCACACACACGCAAGCGCGCACACACACACACACACACACACACACTCACACACACACACACACACAGAGAGAGAGAGAGAGAGAGAAAGAGAGGAGAAATACATAACAAACCAGTCACACCACCACCCTCTCTTGCTCACTCGCTCTCTTCTTCGCTCTCTACTAGCCTCCTTCGCAGTCTTGTTGGGCGTGGGCGTAATTTTTGTGCGCGACGCGAGTAATATGCC